TAAGCTGCTTGCTCAGCCAGAGAAGGAGAAGAGTGATATTCTGTCACTGGAGGAGATCCTGGCCGAGGGGACAGACTTGCCCGACTCAGCAGCAGCTCCACTCTGCGCCAGCCGCAACAGCAAGGCCAAGCTGAAAGCCCTGAAGGAGGCCATGTACCACAGCGCCGAGCACGGCTACGTAGATGTGACCATTGACATACGGAGCATAGGTCAGTCCTGGCACCCCTTCTTCTCTCCCTCTGGGGAGGGACCACTGTAAGAAACATGTCTCTCTTGATGGGCTGTTGTTTAAACCAACCACAGTTGCATCTTCCTCAGTTCCTGTGGAAGAAGAAGGTGATGGGAGATCTTGCAGGTTCCCAGCCCGTTTTGTCTCCACAGCATACCCCAGTCGGGGACCATTGACACTTTTCTGCAGGACAGAGTGGTTTCCACCAGCAGCCATCTTCACCTCTGCTTGGCAGAGCGTTAGCTAAGGCTCTGAGGCAGTGTTCAGCTCCCAGAGGCCACCTCCAACAGCTCCTCTTTTGCACTCCACCATTAAAACATCTTTCTTTTCTGAGATTTGTGAGCCTCGCAGAGCAGGAGCAGGGAACTGGCTTCTTGGTGAGCTAACTGTGCCGATGTAGGGCTTGAACATCATACCAGACTGCTGGGAAGTCGCTCCTGCCTGTAGAGAGAGTAGTTGGGCAGCATGGAGTGGAGTCGGTCTGGACTCTAACCTGCATTCAGAGAGACCCAGGTGCCCGGCATGCCTCTGTCAGGTGCACCATCCCAGCCCTGGAGACATCCAGCATGAGTCAGGGCATGCAGTGGTCACCAGGCTCACCAGGCGAGCTAAGCAGGCCAAGCACCAAGCGATGCGGGAGAGGAGACCGATGGGCCTGTTCTCCAGGTGCTGCACATTTGCTGAAGAAGAAGGAAAAACCTTTTGTAGCCAAGTGCCGGGCTTGCGTTTCCTCCTACTCTGTTCTGCAAGAGCAGAAACTAGGTCGTCTCCAGCCTAGAGCCTGCCGAGGTACATTAGCTCTGTGTGCTTTCTCGCTCAGTGCATGGAAGCAGTTCCCTTTAAGTTCCTGGAGAGTGGTTCTGCCACAACAAACCACTTGAAAAGGCTGATCTGCTTAACTTGCCCAGTGCTGCTCAGGGAAAGTAGTAATGATCAGGAGAGGATGTGGGGTAGCGCTTAAAGAAAGTTTTAATCTGAAGACCACCAGTTTGATTCCAGGTGGGTAGTGACCAAAATAATTTTTTTTACCATTTAATGGCTCTCCAGGGCCGCATTCAAACAAATGAGCTAGCGTAAATCTAGTTTCCAAAAGGCTTTTGCATCACAGAGCACCACAGCAATTACCACAAATTGGCAGTCTCAACAGAGAAGCTGAAGGCTAGATGAGCAGAGAGACCACAGTCTTCTCTTAGCACTTGGAGGAGAGCCTCTATGCATTAGGTCTGGGATGTCCTGCTAACCACCAGCTTTCTCAATCAGAGATAAATAGGAATTTGATTTCTAGGGTTATTTGGCAGTTTTTGCTTAAAATCTTAAGATGAACGTAACTAAAGGTGAAAAAGCAGAAGGGCACATCCTTCTCTGAAGCTGGGAGTGAGCTCTGTCCTCCGTCCATAGGTGTTCCCTGGACACTGCATACATGGCTGGAGTCCTTGCGTACATCCTTCCAGCAGCACCGACGACCCCTGATCCAGTGCCTGCTAAAGGAATTCAAGTCCATTCAGGAAGAAGAGTACACAGAGGAGCTCATCACACAAGGGTTGCCTCTGATGTTTGAGATACTGAAAGCCAGCAAGGTAGGATAAATTATGCGTTTTAAAGAAATCAGCCTCCTTCCCATCCCGCAAGACCGAAAGCTTGAAACATTATTTTTGCCTAGCTGTCCCAAAGCTTGTTTAGACTGTACAGGATTATTATTATTATTTGGATTTTGTATCTCAAGTCTTTTTCACTGTGAAAGCATGGGTTAAAAACACACAAGCTAATCACATCTCCTGCTAGAACAGCTTAAATCTGATGCTAACAATAAGCTGGAGAGACAACAGAAGCTGATGCATGGTGGTGAAATTAAAGTCAAAAGGGTCACTGCAGTACAGCAAGAGATGTTGATAACCAAACCAACTCAAAAAGTAACTTTACCCAGCTTGTTTTACAGGACTGTACAACAAAGCTAATATTCATGTTTGCTTTGGATTTCTTTAACCTCTCACATGACTTTCTCTTCCCTTCATGTGGGATTTGGACTCAAACTTCTGGGGAGACTGGTTTCTACAAGCACACAACAGGATAATTTTTTGTAAATCTTCTATGTGAGTGTTTGTACTTGCAGCCTCCCAGATTTATTCTTTCAACTGACATTTTCTTAGCCAGACAAATCAGACTAACAAAACCTTTTGAGGGAGGTACAACTGGATATGCAAGTATAATAGCAAAGGGGATGATCATGAGGCAGGCAGGGAGGGGAAAATGTCTTACCTAGTGAAGGCTGGATACTTGCTTTTAAAACTCGTTACTACCAACAGTCTTTTCTCTACTGGTCCCCTTGACAGTCAGTTACTCCCAAGGAACGCCCAGTCAACTTTACTTTTACCAGAAAATCATTTTAGTGATGAAAAGCATCAAAAGGATTTGATAGCTTTCTTTTTCTCATGCACCACAATACATGTTGGTCTTCTAATTGTTTAATTGGGAAATAAGTAACATTTCTCACCTGACTCTATGTGTAATGGCAAGGAGCAAATAGTTTTTAGCACTTGCAGCAATAACCTAAATAATGTGAAAAGGGAACAGGAGGTTCTGGTGCTCAATACTACAAGGTTCCAGACTTAGTGCAGCTAGGGAAAGCCTACATGGATTTATTTCTTGTATCCTGCTGCAAAAGAGGGCTTGGACTAGAATCCCAAGCGAATCCTGAACATTTGTTCCAGCAATTGTTCTGATTTTTGCTCCCACGAGCCTTTCCTTTGGGATTAGTTTGTATTCTATGGGTATTTATGGAGAATATTTGAGATAGCTTTTAGGAAATCATTCCAAATCCTAGGATTTGTAGATTACTTGTTCTGGACTCACTTGGGTTAATGTGTGTTCATCCAGAAACTACCAGCAAGGTGCTGTTTGGTTTGAAAGCTGATATGAAACTAATCGTATTGAAAACTTAACGGAGATTAAGTTTAGGCCTTGTAATCTAGGATGCGAGGTGGCTTTAATTGCCCTTCTCCTGGGTGGCTGAAGCCAAAGCCAATGATCATCATTAGAATAAGTTGTTTACATAGGATTATACCTTTGGGACATGGTAGACTGAGTCTTCCAGAGTCTCTTGTAGGAGACACAGAAACAAATAAGACTGCTGCCTTCTGCTTTGGGTTCACTTAAAACCTTAAATGTGGAGCAGTGAAACAACTGAAATACCATGAAAAACCCTGCACGACGAACGATGAAGTCTGTGCTGATCTTTATTCCTGCCTCTGGGCCTAGGGGAGCTGCAGCTGCCTGTCTTCACTCTTCATGAGCATGCATATTCACGAACACACACACACATACACTGCTTCATATTCCTAGAAAAGTAATGAATCATTCTGAGACACTTGTAAGGGTTTACAAATTGTCTGCAAATGGCATGAGTTATTGCAGCGGTCTCATCTAAACGGCCTTTCACAAAGCTCTCCCAGACAGAAATGAGGACTGACTCTATGCAACCCTTTGGAAGGAATCAAAATTAATTCAATTGTAGGAGAATGAGCCAATAAAAGTTTTCCCTGGTCACTCTGTAGAAGGCAGCCAAGGAAAGCTGAGATTCAAAGGATCTTCTGTTCCCCTTCCCTGGAAGGGCTAAGAGCAGAGGGTGTTCTTTATATACACCCACAGAATGGAAGTCTCCTTCAAGATGTGCAGAAGGGCCATAACTGTGGTTCGCATCCTTCTCTTTGGACAGCAAATTGCAAACCTCTGCATCTCGTAGAGCTGTGGGGAGCGGAGTTTGATTTGCTCGCACAGACATCCTTTTCCCTGTGGGCTGGGAACTTCGAGAGAGATTACAGCTCTTGCTAAACAGCACAGCCTGGCCCAGTACATTTCCTTAATGAGTTTTTCAGGGCAAAAAGAATACAATAAGCAACTAGGAAGCACAGAGCCACTTAGCATTTCTTGGCTGATGTAAAACAAGGTGTGCCATTTGCTGCATATTGTGATGCTCAGTATATTTTAATTGCATGGCAACTTGCACCTAATAGAAATGGCATTTTGCATTCCTATAAATAGTTCCAACTATCCCATAATCTCAGAACAATTTACAAATATTAATGAGTTGAGACGTGAAAGAAGGTCTCGTCCTCCCTTTTACGAACAGGGAAACTGAGGTAATTAAACAGGCAGATTTTCAGCGCCTTGTAGAGCGACACTCTTGGCCTCAGAAGCTGTGACAACCTAGATAAGACAGAGAGCAATTTGTAATATGAGTGATTTGGCCAGAGAGACTCTCCAAAAGTCACACAGAAACATGGGGCAGGTCTCAGAGTAGGAAGCAGCCTTCTGCCCCCACCTTCTGTTCTGCGCTGTCGGACAAAATGTTCTTGCATGTTCCCAGGCGAGATACTACAAAATGGAAAAGATTAAAGAAAAAAATAACCAACACCTACAAGAACATCATAAGATATAAGGAATCCCTTTTGTCTCATAGATGTTTTTTTAAATGCCTGTTCCTAGAGAGTCCAGATGTCAGGGTTTATGTGGGAGCCCTACCACCAGCCAGAACTGATGCTGGTGTCCTGCAGGGTGGCACTCCATTTCCATTTATGTGCTGGGAAGCTGACAATAGAAATAAGAATAAAATTTGCAGAAGTCCTGATGCTGGAATGCAGAACGGCAACAAAAATTGGCAAATCAGGCAAAACTGACTGAGCTGAAGTCCCTAGTTTTATTGCCTCTCTTCAAGCTGTGAAATAAGCGGGGAAGAACAGTGAATAGATTGCACATTGGCTCTTTGCTGCTGCACCAAAGCCCTGGAGGAAGACTTCCAAAAGCACAAATGAAGGTTCGATACTCAGCTCCTGGTGGCTTCCAGTGGGACAGAGCGCTTTCATTTCCTTTCATGCCTTTAAATGTCTTTATCAGCTGCACGATTGAGAATTGGATGGAGAGCAGAGAAGTGGCAGTATTTCCATGCTGGCAAGGCAGAGCCTGCAAAAACAGGCAGAGAATTGCTCTGCACTCGCTCCCCCCGTGGTTCCTCCTGTCGTGCAGTGAGCTTGGGTCATTACCAAACCAAGGACCAGAGATGATGTACTCCAGAGAAAGCAGCATCAGTGGGAAGGACACAGAGAGCTCAAGGCATTTTTCTTAAGAGCAAGCAAAACTCAAACTGGGAAAGCTATGACACTAAAAATGTCTTATGACATGGTGGTGGATTTGGGCCACCAGATGAAGAGGAAAGGCGCTGCCATTTCGGGATGGATTGGATCTCTTTATGGACAAGCACGTAAACATAGGGTGCTAGAAGTGGTTTGGACATGGCTGCGTGAGAGAGAAGCCGGGGAGACACTTCTAGGAGCAAGTAGCCCTGAGCTAAACTTTAGTCGCTGCGTAGAGCAGAGTTGAGTCTCTCAAAGCTAAGCTGACACTGGAGATCTTGTTACAGAAGAAAGATAGGAAGATACAGCCGAATTTCTCCTTGTTGGAATCTGTGTTGTGCTCTTTGTGGCCTGGGGAAACCCCTAGACTTCTCACTGGAAGCTCTCCTTTGCCTAAGCTTGACTCTGAGCTGTATTGCCCTCCTGCCCCATGTTGGAGGACCATATCTGCCTCAAGAGTGGATGTGCTTGAGGGCTAGCCAAGGCTTGAAGCTGCCTGGAGGCTGCACCCAGATCTGCAGGCTTGTAGTGCCCGAGGTGGGGCTTGCAGGTCAGCTCTTCCATTTCTGCAGGGAGGTTCCCTTGAGGATAACGTGCTGAACGTGCGGGATGCTTCTTTGTCTACTAAAATCCTGGAGCTGTTTCAGTTTGATCTTGACATTTCTACAACCTGAAAAGAGAAAGACTCAAAACCACAACCTTGGAAGACAAACACATCTGGCCTCTGGAGGAGGCTGGTTTTAGATTTCCACTCCGGAGCTCAGCAGGAGCTTGAATTGTCGTTAAAATCACCCAGCTCCATCCATGCAGAGGAGCCAGAACCACTGCCGGTAGTACGAGGTTATGAGCCAGTTTCATCCACTGCTTTTTCTACGTATAGCAATTTAGATCAGATTGTCCTTGGCCTATTTTTTTCAGAAAAAATACAATCTTTTAATTCCAAATAATCTCTCTTACGACTTTCTGCTTTTGCCTCCATAGCATGGGCGAGGAGCTGCTACTTGCCATTACTTTGGATCCTTTGTGGGCACACATCGCTGAAGTGCATGTGTTAGTCCACATGTGCATGGAGCGCATTTGCTGATGTGTTGTCTGAAGCTCCACCTGACACTGGAGGTGCTCCACACCAGGAAAACTTGATTTAGGACTACAAGTATTCCTACTACTGTATTATCCAAGACAAAATCAGCTTGAAAAGTTGTGGGAGGGGTCCTTCATTGCCCTTCCTCAGTTGTGTTCTGCAGCTTTGTCTTCATCCTTTCCATCAAGGAAAGGTAATTTATTTTAAAATTTAGCCCATTAGCGAGATGTTGATCACATTGTGCAGCCAGGCTCATTGAGAAATGCAGTAAATTACTTTACAAAGATGTTTCCTCAGAATTTAAAATTCCTGCAGGGTTTCTCAACCTCTACAAATGCATCTATGGACAGCTGAAGAAACCTGCAGGAGT